TCTAATCATTTTTTCATACGACTGAATAGTCAATGTCTGGTGGTTTTGATCAAGTTTGCATTTGCACTGTATTTAGTTGGAGTGACAGAAACAGGATGTATAATTTCATTATTTTAAGCTTGCTAATTTTTATTCATTAGCCTACTTTTTGCTAACTGTTTCAACCATTTATCCATTACTTTTAACTAAATTTTGAACCATAGATGTATAAAGATAACTGGATACAGCATTGGAGTTGTGGCCCCATTTATTTATAGTTGCTCAGTGGTGTATGAAACCAAAAAATTTTGATTGTCGGATACAGATCTTCCAAAACCATTGGCCCCAAGAGCAGGCACACTAGTATTTCTTTTAACCCTGCCTCCTAAGCACTCAGTCTCAGACTTGCTGTGCTGAATGACAGTTGGAAAATAACTCATAACATATAATGATTTCAAAAAGGACTATTTAAGTTTTTGCACGAGCCTGGTCTCAATCCGAAGTCGCAGAAATCCGGTGCTTGGACAGTGACTTGCAGTGTCAGAAAGCAACAACAAAGGTGGCCTATATCATTGGCATGATACGCTACAGTTTAATGGCAGCTGGTGGGGTCAGAGGGACATGCAGTGGGATGAGGATGAAAATTAAGGTGGTGAAAGTCCGACTGGGGCAGGCAGGATGGGTGGTGGATGGGTCCAACAAACACCAACTTTCATCCGAGAGAGTGTTTGCCCATAAGATTCTTAAGCTAAACCCTGTTCCTTTTCCCTAAACCTAACCACATGCTGCTGTTGCCTAAACCCAACCATGTGTTTTTGTTGTCAAAGAAAAAAACAAGTCAATTCCTGGTGCTGTACCGACGTAATGTGTTTATTTTGAAAGAGACTGTATGTAAATGTTAAATTAATTAATGTTAAATGTTAAATTAATTAATAAAGGTCAGAGTGAGAATGTGTTGTTTGTACTGGGACATTGATGTACCTCAAAAGACTGAGAAATATGACTTTCACGGTGTAAATCTATGGGAAAACGTGTTTTCCGGACCCAAAGCACCACGTCACAGACCTGAAGTTTTAACTGCTATCCAGTAGCTATTTCATTTGTCCAAAACATTCAACTGTTTAGCTTGCTAACTATTTTAACTGTTAAACTATTATTACTATTATTACTATTACTAATTACTATTATTAATACTATTGTATTACAATTTCAACCATTTATTCATGACCTTTTACTGTCTGTATCAACCATTCATCCATTGGCTAACTATTTCAACTTCTCGCTTACTCGCAAACCAGTTTACATGCAACATACTTTCTCAGTCCCCATGTGGTTTAAATGGTTTAGATTTAATAAAGATCAGCATCACACCAACTGAATCCTATTTGATGGTTTATTTTCCTCACTAACACAAATATGTGGATATATATTTTTAATAATAAATTCATTGGGGTTAGGGTTAGATTAAGTGCCACTGGTTGGAAATCAATGCTTTGCTTTGAAATAAACCAATCATACTCTGATGATACATAACGTTGTGGGGCTCCTCACTATTTTCCCTTGAATCCGTCTTTGGATCAACATCCTTTTTCTAAGTTTGACTAACATTATGCTCCACAACAGGAATGAGTATCATCATGACTAGGCAGAGTTGTTTTGATATGTCACTCATCTGAATGCACCCGAGGACCAGTTCTCACAGTTAGAAGGTAGAATAGGATTGCTCAATGTTCCTTAACAACACAAATATTTACAGGAAGCAAGCAAAGCAAACTTGCCAGCTCAGGAACAGAACTCTAGAGAGTGTTTGAGTTTTCTGTGTGCCTGTAACTGTCTCTCAACCGACTGTATTTAATCTTAAACACAGCCATTTTACTGCTAATATTGTGTCAGATACTTTACAGTTTTGATGGGGAATTCTTTAGTAACTGAAGTTGGAGATATGAAGATTTAAACAACTTTTTTCCCAGCATATTTGCTCCACATCTGCTCCTGAAACATGACTCAAAATCAAGCAGTGAGCTTCTCTTTACTATATGTTGTATATGTTTATCAGATCCTATAAACAAGCATTTTATCATCCTCTGTAATGAGTCACTTCTTGTGTGATTATCAGTTCTAAATTTTCTCTTCACGGTTTTGTTTCATGCCTGTGAGGAAAGCTGTGCAGACATGGTGACCTGGTGTGAAATGCACTTTGAAGGCATTCAGAAAGTTGGAGCTGTAGCACTGCAGCCAGAGCCCCACACAACTGTTAATTGGTGAGAGGTGCGTATTGGGAAGTGTCGAGGGGGGATGGTGGACGAAGTAAATGATGACTTACCTGCAACAGGAAGTGTTTGATGTTAGCTGTGAGCACTCCTTAGAGCTATTGCTTCCATTTGCATTTAAGCACTGTCAAACACACACACACACACACACACACACACACAGACACACAAATACACACACACAGAGCAATTACCAGCTTTTCTCTGATTATTGTGTCTTGGGAGCAGTCAGGAAATACAACACTGACAAATACCAATAGATTAGTGAAACACATCAAGTGATAGACTTAAGTGATAAACAAAAAGACTATTGACATTGTAATTTGATTTAGTAGATTTTTAGTAGAAATTATAATCAAACAGAAGCAAATCTTAAAACTATGAATAATGAAGGTTTTGTTAGGTGTGCACAGTGAAATAAAAAAAAAACACTTTTACCATTAAATATGTCAAACTGCTGTGGAAGCAGATGGGGCTGTCCATTAGTAATCTCAGGCTCACAGCAGTAGCCAGCAGATGTGGCAGGAAGGAAGGTCTGGGAGGGAAGACTCTGGAGAGAAATCTAGGCCTTCCCTTCCGTGCATGTATGCCTGGATGATCACACCGACAAGAAATCTACAATTCAACAAGCACTTCATGTGGGCCATGCCTGCGAGCCACACAGCTGCGCACAGAAATCTGCAAGTATCTGCAGTATGTGGCTTTGTGCATCTCCCAATGTGTGTGCATGTGTGTGTGTGAGACAGAGATAGAGATAGAGATAGAGAGAGAGAGAGAGAGAGAGAGAGAGAGAGGGAGAGATAATAAAATGTAAGGAAAAGGAAAGAGTCGCTGCCATTTGAGATTTACATATTCAATGGTCAATTATGAAAGCTTCCATTATTTTAAAATATAACCTTACCGCTGACAGAAAGTAAAACCATACAGCTTTATAGTCTGCACTATCATCTTGTTTTCTAAATACTGTAATAATACTGTAATTTTGTAATACTGTACTGTAGCTATTGGAGTGATGCTACTAAAAAATAGTAGCCTGCAAGACCAGGCTTGCAATATAATTACTGTAACCTCATCAGTCCCCTATAGAGCCTAAATATAGTCATTTAAATGTGTTATTTTATTTGTACTTGTCATATGTACTGTGTAAAAGTGCTGCAGTACAAATGCAGTCAAGTCTGTTTTATTTATGTGGCCAAAAAATCACAAATGTGCCACAAATGGCTTTACAATCAGTAGGCCTACATACAACACCCTAGTTTTACTTACTTACTGAAAATGAAAATTATATCTGGTACAATACATGTAGTGTGTATTGCACCGCTAAATAAACATTAAAATACTCATATATATATATACTATTAATAATATAACAATAAGCTATTAAAATTGTGGTTAAAGAGAAAAAAATAATGTAACTTGCATGAGCAGTCCAGTCACACAGAAAACCCCTATATATTATTAAAGACATATCATAGAGTGAATATTATAGGATATAGAAATATATAGAAGTAAATTCACTTTTTCCTTCGCTTTCTCTCTGTTTCTATCTTTCTCCAAAACAATAATCCCAATTTGGAGGTGTAGTGGTTGCCATGGTGATGTGTGCAAACGGATAATGGGGCAACTGTTAACCTTTGACTGGTTAAAAGCCCCAAGCTGGGGGGGGGGGGGGGGGGGGGGGGGGGGGTTGCAGGGAATCTCACACGCGCGCACGCGCGCGCGCACACACACACACACACACACACACACACTGGGATGTCAGAGAGAAAGGAAATTCACACTCATTTCCTCCGTGTGGTTTCGGTACAAATCAACAACATCCTGTCCTTTTGTGAATCCTGCCTGCCCTCATGCTGGTTTGCGTTTCAGAGTAGGCGTTATAACCCCCCACCCGTCTCCTCCTCTCCTCCTCCTCCTCCTCCTCCTCCTTCTCCTCTTCTCCTCTGTTTTTTTTTTTACACTACCATAGAAGCTGTAGTCATACCTCACATTGTTGCAGAGGAAGGAAGGGCACGTCCTTGTTCGCAATAAACGGCTTTAGATAGAACAGTAACACACAGGGAGCGGCCATTATTTAGAATAATCGAGCCAAGGTATGAGATCTGAGAGAGTAAGTGGTGTCCTGATATAATCGTTGAGGAGACACTGATTTAAATAGCGTCATATTCTTTTATTCATCATATTCCTGCAGACTTGTGGTTCAGCTGAGATGTGTTGTGTCCTGAAATGTAGACCATGGCTACGTCTTCATCTTTTTTGGCACCAATCAGAATAATATCAGAGATCAGATTTGCCAGCAGTGAGAAAAAAAAAATCATTCATTGCAGATTTAGCCCCCTCACATCTCGCTCTCCCTCTCATCTATTACACAACACCACCATAATCACGTCTCCTTTAACATGTTGCAGGAAGCACGAGCTGCATAGATAAATAAATTAACAGGCTAAAATAAAGCGAGGGTGGCACCACAGCCGATGAGCCGACTCTTTATGTAAATCAGGCCTGACATTGCCCTTGTGACCAAAAAACCCCCACCTCCTCATTCCCTCACCCCCCCTTCCCTCTCTCTCTCTCTCTCTCTCTCACACACACACACACCATTCGCCATTTCTTCCCATTCATAAAAATCTCGGCATCGCGCCTGCGCAATGCCATTCGGAGTCCTCCCCATTCATAAAAATGTAACCTCCGCATTTCAGCCCTCCCGAATCGCTCTGCCCTCCCATTCACAAAAAAAGAGAGAAAAAAAAGCCGAGGCATCTGCGCAGTGCCGTCCCTTTCCTTTCCTCTACCCTCCCATTCATAAAAACTCACTTCCCTCCCCCTCGGTGGTTGCAACATCAAATCCACAGCTCTGCGTCCACAACCGCAGTCGCCTTTTACGCACCAGCGAGTGGAGAATAGTGCAGGAGACCCGCTTCTCCTTTCGCATTACCTTGCCCACACAACCTGGAACACTTGGAGTTTACCTTTACTCGCCATTTGTGGAGCTACTCACTCGCTCGGACTGGACTATAGCCTGCGCGCAATCATCGTGCGCAACGAAGACATGAAAATTTTATCCTGAAACCACAGTAAGTGATCACCTCCGGTGTTATCTCGTCGCTTAATGTGTGTGACTTGTGAACGTGTGGCTGCACAAGCCGAGTATTCAGTGCCTTTGCTGCCTACGCTTGACTGTCCTCCTCAATCCGCTGGATCACAGGCATGAAAACGCTCCTGCAAACTCTATTTTGCAACAAGCTGTTCCGTGGACCCGTGTTTGCACTTTGAGTCAATATTTAACCACTTATTTTGTACCAACGGACGCAGCGAGGGGAAACAGTGTCGCGTTTTTAAGCGTTACTTGCCCATAATACCTCTTTTTTTAATATACGCATGTCCATATACACAGCGGCGAATTTTGTGGTTTCCTTTAAAGCCACTGTCACGATAAAAGGCGGCGGAGCTGATCCTCTTTCCCATCTCCGTCCTCTCTGAAGCCTGTTCATGTTCCAGTCTATCTCGGGCGGTTCAGTTGCGTGTCTCGCTCTCGCTGCAGCGACCGCCTGATAGGCGCACCATGTCGGCTGTGTCAGGTGTTTTTGCCATTACCTTTTCCTGTTATCCCACATAAAATGTATAAATATGTCTTAAATCAGCTTCTTTTGGTTGCCATGGACGATAACGTCCACGTTTACGCATCAAACTACAGATTTAACCACCTCGGATTAAAACTACCCCCCGAACCGTCTGCCCGGTGGCTCACACTGTACCATTTTTATTTATCAATGTCATAATTTGATCAATTGACAGATACTAAGGGTGCCGCGTTGAATACGTGGTTACAATGCCTATATAAACATGCTATTTGAGTATGCTGAGCGGCCGCCTCCGGTTTTTATGACTCAGTCCATTCACATATTGAAGGGAGGGACGCGCACACACGCACATACACGCACTTGAACACGCACTGTTCCGGCTTGAAGCTCATAATGGTCTACATTTGACGATCACAGGCGCTTGTGTCGGTGCCAGCGATGTCGCAACAGGTTTCTCAACCATTTGCTTTTGCAAATCTGTGGAAAAGGAAAATAACACACGCCGACGGTCAAAGCACAGCTGTGGCGACTACTGACACATTTTTATATAAAACAGCGCATCGATCAGCGATAGTGAACCACAAGACAGCAGTTTATAGGTCCTTGGAAATATCCAGGTATCCTTGATGCGTCTTATGGTGTGAATGAGATGGGTTTGTGGGGTATTTTGCAAGAAGCTAAACACCACAGATATGGGTCAGTGGAAATGTCGGCTGTGCTGCGTCGTTTGTCTTCAATCATCTTTTGGTTTTCTGTAAAGTAGGTTAGGTCTTTGCCTGCTGCCGAGCGTTCATCGGTGAGATGAATGATGAAACCGATTTCATTCAGGCTCATCATGACTGGAGCGCATTGATTCATGCTTGCAACACCGAGTGCAGCCAGCAGCTTTCATTCACAAAAACCTGCAGTTCACAAATTCGGATCCATTCACAAATTGCTAGACTGGCCTGTCTCTCTGATTCAGACTTTACACATACCACGAGAGACGATTTATACCAGATACAATTATATGTAAAATTATGTTACTGCTTTATTAATGTGTGGTTCTATACCAAGACCTAATTTCCTTTGCCTCTTGTTCATTTGTTCAAGATCTTTGTTGAAGTCCCTTTCCTGGCAACCTTCTCCTCTCTTTGCTCTGCCTTGTTTTGCATCTTTGAGTCTTTTGCATGCAAGCCCTGCTCTCTGGTGCTCCCTGCTCTTTGGAAAGGAGGCGATGAGAGCCCAACTTCTATTGTTCTAATGTCAAAGTTAGAATAGAGGAGGTTTGAAACCCTGTTGGTATTCAGTCTAAAGATCAAGATCGTTTGGAAACTCTTCATTCAGATTATTGCAGGGATCCGGCCTTGAAAGAGATTTCCATTGAGACGCTGAAACGCTCTGGTTTTAGAGATTTAATAAATGTCTTGGGTGAAGTAAGCTATTTGCAATAGATGACCGTTTTACGTGCTGTTGGAGGCGTTAGTTTGAAATCTAGTTATACCTGCACACAGTCAATGTGCGAGTTATTTAAAGCCGCACAGAAAAGCCTTAATCATGTGAGGAGAGTAGTGTAAGCAGTTAAATTGTGACATAAAGCACTGGTTAGTCATCATCAGAGGCAGTGCAAAGCAGCAGGAAATTGAAATTATACCACAGAGGGTAAAAATTACAGTTTGCAACCTGACCTTTCAATAGACAGTAATATATGTGATTAAATACAAGTTCGACAGCATGGACAGGATGTTTTCTTCTTTCATTATGTCAAAAAAACAAAGGTTTTGACGTCAACTTAACCCAGTTTGGTTAAAGACTAAGTAAGGCATGCATTCTCGCTCTCGCTCTTTACAGCGAACCTGGCTATCATTCTTTGGATAGTTTTGTGACATAATAACTTTATGTAAAATTATTCATGTTATTTTTTTCATGTCCCCTTTGCTCTGCTTTATTTGTACTTATAAATAAGTTGTTTAGATATAAGACAATCAAAATGGTGAAAGATGCAGCCAGTCATAACTGTCTCTTTTGTCATTCTACAGTTTTGCTAAATGTTGCTTTAGAGTGAAGACGTGCGAGGCACCAGCCTACACATGGAGTCCAGGGTTCCCCACCACATCCCCGGAGTGTCCTCCTCCCTCATATCCCAGCCCCTGCTGGACAGTCGAGTGCCCTATGGCCGCCTGCAGCACCCTCTCACCATCTACCCCATTGACCAAATAAAGTCCTCGCATGTGGAGAACGACTACATCGACAGCCCGGCCGTCGTCTCCCAGCAGCCCCCGAGTCAGAAGTCTGCAAACCGAAGAATCACCTGGCTTGGTCAGAACCAGGAGGCCTTCTTGGGGGCAAACCACAACCACCATCACAATCACCAACACCAGCACCACCAGCAGGGCAGGTGCGAGCCCCACCCTCACCAGGACACCACCACCCACCCTTGGATTTCCTTCAGTGGGAGGCCCAGCTCTATCAGCAGCAGCAGCAGCACCTCATCTGATCAGAGACTGCTGGACCACGCTGCACCCACCCCAACGGTAGACCACCACCCAAACCTGCACCCCCACCAGGGCCCAGTGAACACAATCACTACCCGAACTCCAGGCTGCTTCACTTCTTCTGAGTCGAAAGTCCTCACCTCCTCTTCCTCTGCCTCGTCTTGCTCCTCCTCCTCTAAATCGCTGGACCTCAAGTCTGCAAAGATGCCCGTGGGAGGCGTGTGCACCACTGGAGGCCAGCAGGGGTTGGCGCTGATTCCTTCCTCCCCGGCCGAGAAGAAGCACCTCCTTCTCTGCGAGCACTGCGGGAAGTGCCGATGCACGGAGTGTACGCTCCCCCGAACCCTACCTTCTTGTTGGGTCTGCAACCAGGAGTGCCTGTGCTCTGCTCAGAGCCTGGTGGATACAGCCACCTGCATGTGCCTGGTCAAAGGGATCTTCTACCACTGCACCGAGGATGAGGACGATGAGGGCTCCTGTGCCGACAAGCCCTGCTCGTGCTCCCAGGCCAACTGTTGCGCACGCTGGTCCTTCATGGCTGCCCTTTCAGTTGTCCTGCCTTGCCTGGTCTGCTATCTGCCGGCTACGGGCCTGGCCAAACTGGGACAGAAGTGTTACGACAATGTTAGCAGGCCCGGCTGCCGCTGCAAGAACTCCCAGGGAGGCATGAGCGCCCCTGTGTGTAAAAACGGAGGCGTGGAAGCAAAAGTTGGGACGCTAGAGAAGCAGCAGCAGGGGTCATGATAGTGGACCGAACTGGCTAGCAGTGGCCTCGCTAAAAACGGACAGGACCACACAGTACTTGCTTGCTCTCTATGGATAGGACAATCCAACACCAACCCCTTAAACTACCCCATTAATCTGCTGGAAGGTGACTTATGTAAAACAAAGGTACTTAAATGGCTTCTTGACCTGTGTTTGATAGGGTGGATGATCAAAAGGGGCCTGACCTGAGAGAGTTGGATAGTAGGAATAGCTAACAGGCCCCCCTGAAATATTTTTGTTGTTGTTGTTGTAAGAGTGACACAAGAAGAAGACGAAGAAGAGACTAGATTGTGGGACTGGTGTTTGTGTTGTTTGCAAAGATGGCTGAAGGCACAAAGTCATTGTACCTCTCTGCTGCTCTGTATTTCTCAGCTAATTTTGTAACGGTAACTAACCAGAAGCTGGTTGCTGATCCTCGGATAACAGAAAAGTTATTTGATGGAGATAAATATCTCAACGCTCCCATCCCCTCCCACCCCCAAAAGCACAGCCCAGTGTCCTTCTGTCTGAACAAACATGAAAACAAGTGATTACCTATACTGTGGCTTTATGATAGGCCACTGCAAGAGTGAAACTACCACTTACTCACTCACTCTCTCCACTATTATGATGATCACCATCTTTTAGTGTCGCCATTTTTCCTCTGTTAGCTTAAAGATGCTAGCTTGGTAATGCTAACATTTTATCTCCAAGTTTTAATCTCCATGGAGGAGCTGTAAAAAATAAGAACCTTTTGAGACTTAAAAATATAATCATTTCCCATAATTCTCACTCTGTATTGTGCGTAAGCAGTCATACTGCAAATGAGAGAGATAATCACTTTACAGTGTGTTTTCTATTTTTCGGGGGGTGAAGCCCAGAGATTCTAAAAGATACTGAATGCTGTTCACCAATCACCTCAGAGGTAATGCATGTCATGAACTGCATGCTCTAGTCTAATGGTTACCCACCGTGCTAGAAGTCGATGTATCGTAGAGAAATGTGTAAAAAAAAAAAAAAAAGTACACCCAACCTTCTCAGGGACTGTTTCAGTAATCCTCTCTAGAACTTGGCCTACAGCATGTTGATTTCTAAACTGCCTAAGAGCCTGGTCTACTTCCTCTTTGCACAAGACAGCAAAGAATCATTTAGGGGCAAAAAGGCAATAGTGAATAATTTAAAACGAGTAAGCTAAGTGAGAGACAAACTGGCCAGAAAATAATGTTTCCAGAGGAGAGGGGATGCAAGTGATAGAGAGTGAAGAGGGGGGGAGAGACGGCATAGCAAAGTTGTTGTTGTGTTCGTATCTAGTCGAAATCAAACCTGCCACTTGCACAACCTTTTTAGGAAGATGCAAACCCCTTAAAGGATGTACTAAAGCACAGTATTAACCACCTCAGCTATCTCACATTACGTTTGCGTGCACTACATTTAGTCCACATGCCCCCCAGCCCCCCCTCTACACACAGCGTCTTCATTAACTCTAATCATTATGCTGCATAGCTACGTTAGTCAGTCTGTCTTTTATTCCTAAAGTCTATTTTTGTGGCTTGCATGATGTTCTTAGGACTTTGCCAAAGGAAGCTAGCATACAGTAGCTTGTCTTCGCTGTCGGAGTGATCACAGTTGTTATGCACTCTTGCCAAATGGGAGTTGACAGCAGTTGGTTTCTTAAAGGCATGCTGCCCTTTAATACAGATGGCCTTTTCTGTTTGGCATAAAGGCATACTGTCTTTGTTGCTCCATAACACACACCTCTCTTTCATGTCGGACCCTTAACTTCCATTAGGGTGCCTAACTTTGCTCATACCTGTATTTGTCTCGTTGCACAAAGCTGATATCACACACACAGGAAACACAAAAAAAGGAAAGAAAAAAAACACACTGTCCTTAGTCTTGAATGTATGAGGCAATATTTTCAAAACCTAGCAATTCAGTCTGAGAGAAAGGTGCCAAAATTGAGAATGATTGTGTGACTGGGCAAAGGCCTAATACATGTAGGTGGGCGGCAAAAATCACAAATGTTTTGACAATATATTTAGTAATAGAGCTATGCAGGTGAAATGTTATTTGCTGTAAATAGTTTCACAACATTTGTGTTCTTTAGAAGAGACTTTTAAATGTCCTTGAAAGATTGCATGGTACGTTATAACTACAATTCAGTACAAAATATATAGAGAATATATTAGATATATATTTTGAGGGTAAGATAAAGATGTTTTCGAGGTCGTCAGAAAAAGGAGAAGAGGGAGGGCGGCGAGAGGAAGGTTCAGGAAGGGGTAACAAAAATGATCTTTCTATCACTCGCACTTGATTTAGAAAAGTGTGCCCGGCAATAAAGAAGAAGAGAGCGAAAAAAAAAACTCCTGCTGTTTATGCTATCCATGGCTCATTAGCAGTCGAGAGGCTAAGCTAATTCCCTGGTTCCTCTCCGAGTCCTAAAGACTGTGGACTCATTGAATCCACACAGGGAACACAATCTACCCCTATCCGGATCAACCCATTTCCTGCTGTTACTGCTCAGTGTCTCAGCTCTCTCCCCTCTTTTTCTCTTTCTCGCTTTTTCCCCCTTCCTCTCTTCTTCCCTCCTTCCTCCCTAAGAAATAGTCCAACAAACACCCCTGGCCTTGATTGACAAACACAGCTGCTGTGCATAAACTTGTCATACCACAGAGACGGGGGAGAAAGACAAGTCTGTCTGTCTCTCTTTCTCTCCCTTTCTCGTCTGTTTTCTCCCCTGTCTTCGTTTTTTCCTCTGGATTTGTAGTTCTGTGCCATCTTTTTAACCAGCGAACCTCTCTTTCCAGCTGCCTTTCTTTACTTTAATTCCCAGCTCTGTCTTTGCACGAGTAATTCTCCTCACTACACGTTAGCTTTATACTTTTACATGTGCTCCCTAGCCTGTTCAAGGTGTGGAATAAATCATCCAACAACGACAACTCAATGATAAAAAAACTTTTTATTCTTTTCATTTTGTCCCCTTTTGCTACAATGCTATGACTTTTACACACCCGTATCCCTTTGTGTCGCACATTTGCAGGCACTGTTTATTTTTAATTGTTATTATTATTATTATTATTGTTATTAATTTAAACCCAAACAAGAGGAAAAGTCTCATACAGCTGGGTGATGCTACTCCATTCCTTTATGCCTTTGCAATGTCAATGTTGGGGATTAAAGAACGAGATCTGTGCTTTTGTTTTGTTTAGATATAACAAAAAGAAAAAAAAATCTCTCATATAAAAGGTTCCCTTTATAGATATATTTATTTTGAAGTTCTATTTTATATAGTATTTATTTAGATGCCAACTTTTTGTTTGTGAAGAAAGCTTATGTCGAAATGGAATGTACATTGACAATGGAAATATATATTGTTAAATATACTGGGCTGTTGTGTCGTTACTTTTGTCAGTCGTTTCCACACTTATAACACACACTCACACACATATATCATGCACTCAGAATGACTATGGGTGACCTAGAGTGACATAAAGTGGGATTTTGGTCAAATTTACACTCCTCATTAAAGATACACTGCTTAGTCTATGGCCAAAAATGTGTTCATCAGCATTTTCTTCAATTAAAACTGACATAAAAGGAATAATGATACACATGTACAGTACATTTTGGCACAAAAAATCTTTCAATGTTTCTGTCGCCACTTTAAAGCTTCTTATCAAGGAACATTAGTTACTAGATGCTGATTTCTTTAACTATTAATCATCCTGTAAAGGACAATTTATGGGCTTTAGTTGTTTTATATCAACACTTCAACTTCCTGAGGTGCCCTGCTTCCTGTGTCTGAATAGATGGCTCTCTATAAAACACTGGTAGGTCACCGAAGGCCAAATAAAGCAGCTTGACCTCAAACTGAAAGAAAACATTACATAAGTAACAGGAAATAATTCACTGACTTCCTCTGGACGATGTAACATGAGACAGACGGTCACTTCCTATCAGAGCTTATGCTTGATGGCTGCTGTGTGTGTGTGTGTGTGTGTGTGTGTGTGTGTGTGTGTGTGTGTGTGACTCGCAGGTTAAACTGACTTCCTTCTAGTTTATAGGGGTGGTCTGTTATAATCTGGATGTGTAACATTCCTTTCTCCCCAAAGCACCTCCTTAAGAAGCTGGAGCACACAAGTCAAAGTCACACACACACACACACACACTGTCATCACCCTCCCACCCCCTCCCCCCAGCCCACCTGCGCTGCTGTTACCCCGAGGCGTTCTTCCTCCCCTTATGCCCGTCCCCTCCACACGCTTGTTTCCTGGGTGTTTACCCGAGTGCACCTGGGAGAGAGGAGAGTGGAACAAATGAGCGACACAGAGTGTGTGTGAGAAAGGCAGAGCAGAAGAAAGGAAAAAAGAAGACATAAAGAGAAGAGCAGAGCAGAGCAGAGTTGGCCTTCCAGCATCACATAAAGAACATGTTTCCGCTGCAGAAGCCCTGCAGGCGCTGCAGTGTCTGCTCTAACAGGTGAGATCAGAGACCAACCTGCCTGTTTACCTGCCGGTCTGTCAGCACCCACCTGGGACAGCGCACACACACACATATACACGAACACACACACACACACACACACACACACACAAACACCTGCATTTGACTTCCTCCACACCTACATTGTCATCTCCACCCCATCGGGCCACATACATATCATCAACACAGGAAGCTTCGGCACAGGCAGGTGAAGAAGAAACCATTTATTATCTGCTGGTATTATGGGAGGCTGCATTCACAGAGGAACCAGTCCTGGGTCAGAAACTGTGTATGCAAATAATTATTTGTGCTGAGGTTTGGCCTGCTGTGCTACCAAAAGGGTTTGGTTTACCACAGGAGACAATGCAACGAACACCAGCCAGAAAACAGCTGAAACTAATATTTTAATGTTTTAAAAAAATGCATTCTGTACATGTGTACTGTGTTTTTTTTTTTCTTATTTGCTCAGCATTGTGTGTGTGGCGGGGAGCTAGTCAGACTGCTGCTGCATGTTTGTGCTCTGCTTCATTTGCAGCGTTATTGTACAGTGTCGAGAATAAGGTCGTCACACCCAGCACACACGTCAGCTGTTGTTATGGCAAAGTATTTCTGTCATGCTGGTACTTTCATGCAGACATGAAAAGTGACTTTCGTTATTTGAATAAACAGCTGAGAAAAGGACATTTAAATACAGTAAATGTGCTTTTTAAAAAGAGACTAGATGGGATAGAAAGAGAAGTGTGTCAGTCGCCCTCTGGCTGGATGGGACTTTGTTCCAGTTAGGACACGTGTGACCTCCTCTGTGTGTGCGTGTTTGAGTGGGTTGGTCCATCATTACATGAGTCGCACTGAAAACAGAGCTTGTGTTGCGATAATGCAGGACAAAGGGATCATCAGGTGAAACCCCCAAGCGACATAATCTGACTTGACCCATCTCATGTTTGTCTTCTTATCAGCTGCTGCGTTTCACAACTGGCAGAACTCGTCCGGCTAAGTCACCATATCATCCTACATTGATGTGACCCGAGATACCACTTAAAGGGGCGGGCCGCCCCTTTGCAGCGTGAACCTGCATTTGGGTAACATATGTTAGACCAATGCTCCGAGGCCATGGGGGAAACCACATGCCAGTTTCCTGCAATGAATGATGTTTCCCCTCAGCTGGTCCCTGAATACATTTGAGATTTTCAAGAAGCTAACAGTAATTTTGACTTTCCACCACTTATGTGCTTCAAGTTAGCTCAAGTAAATCCCCCGCAGTTTGCTGTTTAGATGACATATTGCAAAAGTCATTTTCACATCTGGTGTAGCACTCAACCAAACCCCCTCGCACCCCCAACAACCCCCAGATACACACACACACACACGTTCCTCGCTGTCTTTTCCTTTCACCCCCCATTCATCCCCTCTCCCTCTTTCTTTATTTTACTTAACAATATCTATAAATGCAGATTGATTTTTTAAAAATAAATATTACAGTTTTGCAATCTGTCCACGATAGAGCTTTGGAGATAGAGGGGCAAAATTACTACATGAGAAAACAATATGAGATGTAGTCCCTGTCCAACAAAATTGTTGCTAAAGTCCCTACAAATGTTGTCCCTAAAATCGGCTGAACTAACAGACTTGTGGCACTGTACTGTTTTGTGTCATATTGGAAACAATTCACAGCTCACAAAGCCCCAAAGAAAAGATAAACATGTTATATTTTTTGGTTGTCGTTGGATACATTTGACAGTCTCTACAACATTCCCATTATACTTTGGAAACTACAGTTGTTGGTCTTTCATCCAAATGACAGCAACATCTGACACAGTGATCATCTGGAAATGCTAACACTGTTAGCTGTTGTCACTTTTAAAAGAAATATAAGTTGTTGTTTTGTTTTGTTTTTATAATTTCTCAGCCACAAAATGAAAATATAGCTTTTGGGGAAATGATTCTCTTTATAAACCTGTAGACAATAGTCATGTCTGCGTCCAAATATAGTACAAATTTTAACCAAATTTCCAGAAAATTAGCTAAATAAAATGGAAAGGAAATAAGGAGTTGGCCTGGTTGCTTGATGCACTACTAGCTTGTTGACGATCATGTGACTATTATGATGCACTAAATTCAGTTGGAGTGCAGGAAGTGATAAATCCATTTGCTGAAATGGAAACAGAAGAATTTGACTACATAAAAGGGTTAGATGAACCTGAAGGCAGCAGGTATCCCGGAAAATTGAAACTCATGTTGGATGTGATCAATACAAAATGAAGAAAAGTGATTTTTGCCCTCAACATGACTAATTTGCCTGGTATGGACACTAGGGATGGGCATCAGTTTTCGATTATCGATGATTGACACAAATAATTTTGCCCAATAGTCGCAGTGTTTCCCCTACAATGCTACAGGCCCGGCGAGCCGGCGTGCCTACGAGACCCCCAGACGGACCTACGCCAGGCAAAAAAAGTGGGGCAGCTGCGCTCTCTTGCAGTGACAATCTGCACTGCACTCTTTTGTTTTCTCTCTTTTGAAATTAATAGATAATTGATCGTTAATTTTTTTGATGATCGAATAATGAATTTTGATCGTTTGCCCATCCCTAGTGGACACAATCATCATTGCAAATGATCTTGTCCTCTACACATTGTTACCATTACTAATATTATACGATGAGCTGATGAAAGTGTACAAGTGTCTGTTGGTCTATTGTTTTGTGTGCCGTTGGGTCCACAACTGAAATGACTGCCATCTTGTTTTTGGCTGTGGAAGTAAATGTGCTTGAGTGAAACTCTCTTTTATATTTTAGTTCTGAAGGCTACATGGATGCACTGCTGTCAGGCTAACGTTACATGCTAATATTAGCTAACCAAAGCTAATTTCTTCCTACTAAATCAACTGTTCCCAAAGGTCTGGAGAAACACCGTTGAAAATCTGGGTCATGGCTAAAAACACAAAGAAGTCGTCACAGCACATTATAATTGCATCCAACTCAAGTTACCTTTAACACAATGCTTTAACATTAAAAGTTGCTCCTTAAGACAGATGATGGAGGTTTTTGATCCATATCTGCCTTTGTTTCTCAATGAGCCTTTTTTATGTAACTTCTCCCCATTACATCCAACTATTTTCGTGATTTAAAGTAACCATAGATTTTTCTCAAATGATCGACTGGAACAATCCTAAACAGTTAAATCATAGGCATTTTTAGAGTGTTGTTTGTTTTTGCCTCCAGTTGCCTACCCTCCATCTAGATAATGCACTGATGTATGGAGTTATATGCAAAGAAGCTATTCTTTAGTCAGGTGCCATTAAACCACTGCAGATGAATACACATGATGATGTAATGATATAAGCACCAGTCAAATCTCGAATGAACACATTTTTCTGCAATATTTCAACTTTTTATTTTTCTAAATTACAGTGTTTCCACTCAGTTGTTTTATGCATATTGAAAAAGTGCCTAAAAACAGGTGGATGGAAATGCACAAGGAGTTGCCTTCCTGCTAGTGACTCAGGAGCAGGATGATGATGGCAAGTGAAGAGTTTGTGTGTGTGCAGTGAGGTGGGGAGGGGTTCGTAATGCTTGTACGCACATGAGATCCTGCGCAGGTCTGCAGGAATGCACGCTCTTATATGGGGCAGACATGGCAAGTGCACGCTGTTTGGAAATGGAACCCCCTGACATTTAGACCTGCAGATTGTAAAATCATGTCGCCTCCCACCACACATAGACAGACACACACACACACACAGGCACAGATGTCCAAACACACACAGTATCTCCTCCTCTGCCCCCCCTCTTTTCCCCTCCTCTCTTTCCTCTGTGGAATTCAAAAGTAAAATGAACCTAAGTGTGACAGGACGGCTTGAGCTGCAGGAAAAACACACATTTCAACACTTGGGAAGTGGCGGG